AGAAACAAAATCCTGCTATGAGGCAGAAGGCAGAATGAGAAGATTTCACTCAGTGGAAGCTGACCAGTCAGACTGAACCAGCAGGAATTGAGGGATACCAGGTGAAAATAACTACTCCCAATTGCTCAAGGAAGCACAGGGAAAGTGCAACTTGGACTGGAAAGTGAAATCTGAAGGAGCAAAAGGCGTCAAACTGAAAAAAAACAGAAGACGCATCATTAATCGAAGCCCAAGACAGTCAAGGAGTTAATAATAGAACACCTATCTCTCTGCTTCAAATGAGCTCCAGATTCCAGGCTGCCATGAATCATAGCCCAGCTACTGAAAGAACTTGCTGACACAATGGAAGAATTATGGCTGGTCATCTCTGAGAAATCATGACACCTCAAGGTGAGGCAAATGGCAGTGTTCAAAACAGGAGCGAAAATAGATTCTGAAAACTAAAGCCCAGAAATATTCTGGAATAGATGACTAAATAGATGGCTTGTGAGCATTTGAGAGTTGTTCATGAAGAGTCAAGATGAGTTGAATACGAAAGAGCCATACCCAGTGAATCTCATTTACTTTTAAAATACGGTCATGAAAAAAAATAATAAAATAGGGTTATGGTCTGACATGAGACAGTATTGTGTAATGGTTGGAGAGCTGGCCTTAAAGTCAAGAAGACCTTATTTGAAGTTCTATCTCTAATGGCTATGTGACCCTGGCCAAGTCATTTCACTTCTCAGCCATGGTAGAGGGAGTTTCTTTATCTGGGAGTTCCCTAGAGCAATGAAATCACAGGTTTAGTTCCTATTCCTATAGTCCGATAGATAAGAGAAATGTGAAAGATACATCCCAATTTTAGCATGGCATTTCACTAAGTTTCTCATGAAATCCTTGTGGATAGAACAGAGAAATGTGGACTGGAAGACAGTATATAAAAATGGATTTCCAGCTAGTTGGCCATCATATGCAAAGTATGTTGCTGGAGAAAAGTCTGTAGTGGCATACCATACTAATCTGCTCTTAGCCCTGTCCCATCTAATTTTTTTTTTAGTATAAAGAGAAAGATGGTATACTTTTCCAAAAATTCAAATGTCACTTGAGAAATAAAGCTATATGATAGAAATGGATTAAGAGATCTTTAAGGCTATCTCAGTAAGTTGGGGGAAAAAGGACCAAAACCATTAAATTTAAATTTAACAAAGACTTAAAGTCATACATTCTGATTCTCCCAAATCAACTGCACTGAGGGGAACAACAGAAAGAGCACTATATTTGAAATTGGAGAACCTGCATCAAAACCTGACATTTCCATTTACTACCCGTGTGACCTCGGGCACATCACCTAACTTCTCTTGGCCTGAGATTTCTCATCTATAAAAAGAGGGGGTTGAATTAGAAGACACCTAGGATCTCTTTTAGCTATAAGGTTCTGACTCTATGACCCAGCTGGTGAAAATACTCTGGGTATATTATTTGATCACAAAATGAATATGAACCAAAGGAGTGGTGTGTCTACTAAAAAAAATCCATGCCATCTTAGGCTAGAATGATTAATGAAAGTGTAGCATTCAGACCGGGGGATTTAGTAGTCACACTATAATCAGGTCTGGTCAGAGAAAGTCTGAAGTGCTATGACCAGTTGTGAACATAGTATTATTATAAAAACAGTGAACTTCTCTCCACCAACAATGCTGCCATATTGGTACAAATCCTCGTCACTTCTCTCCTATATCATTATAATTAGCCCCAAATTGGTCCCATGCTTCTTTAATCCATCTTTCTCCTAGCTACCAAAGTCATTTTCCTTATGTGTTAATATGACCATACTTGACCCTTTCTCAAAAACCTTTGGTGCACATAGGAAAAGACACACCATAGCCTTGGCTTTTCAGGGCCTCCACAATCTGACTCTAACCTACTTTGCTCAACTTTATTTCACATTTGTTTTTCTTTTTTGCTTGTATTTATGTCCCAGAGCCTGGCATGCAGCAAGTGTTTAATAAATGCTTGTTGTCTGCCTGCCTGCCTATGTTTCAGTCAAACTGGACTAGACCTGGCTTGAACCCTAGGTGCCATCTCCTTCCTCTTTTTTATTTGCGCAGGCTTCCCCTCATATCTCAAACGAATGCCTTACTCATCTCTACCTAAGGAAAAGAATCCTTATTTTGCTAAGCAACTAGGTAGAGCACTGGATAGAGTGCTGGACTTAGAATCACAAAGACCTGAATTCAAATCCAACCTCAGATACTTACTAGCTTTGTAACCCTGGGCAAGTCATTTAACCTCTTAATTTATCTCAGTTTCCTCAACCTTAAGATGGGGGTAATAATAGCACCTACCTTGCAAGGTTGTTGAACCACTACATGAATGTTTATTTCCTTTCCCCCACTTTAGGACTGAAGATCAGGTGTGACTGTCTCCTGGTTCACTCTTCTGTGGCTCTCCCAGGTAGAAGAACACTCCCTTTCCTCAAATGTCCCTAGAGTACTCTGAATGGAACTTGACTATTACCTATATCACTAATATTATTATCTATATTATACTATTATTAACATCTGCAATAAAGTAGTCATTGCTGCAATCAAGATGACTAGCCCGAGAACATATTGTTACTGATAACTTACTATACAAGCAGGACTACCAAAAACAACGGGTGAAGTTATGCTCCCAAGTTATAGCCAGCTGTTAAAAAAAAGAACCTAGCATGCACTGAGATGGATCCACTCCTCACCTTCATCTCTTAGAATCCTTCATTAGTCAAGTAACTCATAGACTGGGATTTCTAATTAATTTCTAAATAGAATCCTCACAACAGACAACTTGTTTTCATGATAGATTGTTAGCAATCATATTGCACATTTTCGTGAAACTGGAAAGATCGTCTGTCCTGGGACTCTGGCTCTGACACTGACGGGATGCTGTGCTGTTATCCCCCCTCTCTTGGCCTTAGTTTCTTCATTTGTAAAATGAGGATAATTATTACCTGCACTATCTCACGGCGTTGTTGTGGGAAAGCCCTTTCTGAATTTTAAAGGACTATATAAATGTGAGCTATTATTATAATAGTCCTTCCCCCCCACACCTTAAACCAATACATAAAAGTAACTCTCCTTTTCTTCCCCAATCCCTAAATGCCTGGCATCTTCTTAAATATCTGCTTCACCAAAGATGACATTCAAAGACATGTTTTTATAGTTATTATTCAAAGCCTCTCCCTGTCTGATGTATGTCATCCCAGACATGTTCATATTTTCGGCACACAAAAAAGGTCTGTTTTTCCTGAAGCTTGAAATACCTTGCATGAGAAAGAGTTCTGAGTTTAAATGTGAAAGAGCCAGCAGATGCCTATGCTTAAATTATTGAAAACAGAAAGGGAAGGGGTTTTTATAGACCCAGAATGCAATGAAATGAAGAAAAAGACACCAAGTCTACCCAAAAGGTGATAAAATATTTTATTTGCTTCTTGGTTGTGAAAAGAAAATAAATCAGAGAAAATACTATCAGAATGCCTTAAGGTTGAAGGCACCATCTTTCTTAGTGGGCTCGGCCATGACCAGGATTAAAGACCTGGTGTGTTTCCCTTGCATTTGTTATCATGCTGCCCATATATTTCAATCCAGAAATCATGGACCTCATAAAAATAAAGTCAGTCAAAGGGCATCTCTTCAGGCGCTCTGTGTATAGCACTACCTTCCCTTGGATCAGGGCAGCTCAGAACAAATGCCCCTTGCCCTGGAGAAGTTTGCAATCTAAAAATCTGCCTTTGGGACATGGTTATCAGTTCAGAAAAAAAACGGCAGAGCTGAGTCTCAGGAGTGGGAGGCACAGGGCCTGGAAGGACATGGACATGGAGGTTTCCAATCAATTGTACTTCAGCCCTGAGCAATGATGGGATTTTCTTGGTGTTCTTCACATTAATTCTGCTAACACAGAACAAATGAGTAAGAAGAAGGAGAAAACTTTTTCCATGGTGAGACAGAGAAGACGTCATGGATTGAACTCCACAAGAACTTTTCCTCCTATGTCTTTCTCCTGTTCTCTTGTTCTCTCCACTCAGGGAACAAACTAAGTGTTCCCCAGTATGTCTTGCGTGTTTGTGTCCACAACAAAGAGCCACCAACACTAACAGCAAAGCACTCAGTAGCAATTTGGGTCATAGGCTCCCACCATTGTTGCACAACTAATCTAGTCTTCTAAGACTACTCCCTTTCCCCATGGGAAGGATCCTGTCATTAGTCAGAGAACCTGCCACATAGGCCACCCAGAACTAGGGACTTCTAAATCTATTCATTTCTTGTGCATGTCCTCACTTATAAAACTAACCCTTTTATACATACAGCTTAACAGATAACATATTTTTTTAAAAAAGCCACCCCCTAAAAAATCTTCCTATGTGTAAAGAAAGGGAAGCAGACAGTAGATATTGATGATTGTGCAGTGGAGGGGAACTGGTCTATCCCCTTCTCTCCTTCCTCTCAGTTGATGTAATCACAGAAAATAACAGATAACAATAGGTACTAGGCAATAGATAACAAAAGGCACTAGGTTAACATTTAACAACTGGCTCTCTGAAAATTACAAGATATCTTTTTAAGTTTAATCTGCAATATTCCCATTTTCTTCATCACTTTTTTTAAATCTGGATAATAAAAACAAAATATATCAAGCCCTGATTTATAGCATTTGCTAATTCCTGAGGTACAAATGTACACACTAAAAATTCTAACAGTCAGATGACAATATATTAGCATGAGGTACAATGGCTTGCTTTGTTATCCCTTTGTGAAAAATGAAGTTCTGTCAACAGAATTAGAAGGGCTATTGGCCACTGGCTAGCAAAAAGACTGGCCATTCTCCAATGGCCTTTATGAGAACTGAGCCTGACAGTTCAAAAGAACATTCAGCACAAGAATTCAATGTTGCCCCTGAGCCTTTACCAGAGGTGCGTGCTCTTCTCTTCCCTCGCTTTCCTCCCTTCTAGGTTATATGAATTTTGCAATGGAGTTACTCACCTAGCAGAAGACAGCAGAACCAGAAGACGGACACAAGAAGCAGCTTCCAAGAGTGTGATCTATGGTCACAGAGAAAAGAGCAGAGTAAGAATTCAAGGGACAACCAGCTCTAGCAGTTGAGGCCTGAGTTACAGAGAGGAGGAAAGCCAGGGAACGCAATTAAACAATCTGCTCCAGCAGAGCTGCTGCACCCAGGGGAAAGCAGCATGGGAGCACCATGAGAGAAGAAAGGGCATAGGGGCTGACAGTGTGAATTGCTGTAGCGCCCTATGTCCTTTATATGTCTGCCTCACTAGTAGTGTACTCTGAAGTTTGCGCTCATTCTTCCCATGAATGTTGTGCATATTTGTGGAAGAGTATGCCCCAGGCTGGATGTGGCAGTTAGGATGGTGGAGTGGAGGTGAGAGGTAGGGGTGGAGGGAAAGATGTTTTATAGACAATGTTCTTGCTATATCCATTTTAGCAAATGCCTTTCCTATGAGCCAGTTATATTCACTAACTCATTATTAAAGGTAAGCTCACCAATGGGGGCTAGTCGACTCACAGGGAAACCATGGAAGCTATGAGAATAGTAACTCCTGTGGGAAACCAACCTCCAAAACTGTTATTGCCAAGTTGGAGAAATAGCTCAGAAGGTGTGCTACAATTGTATCTAAGCCAAAACCTTCCACTGAAGATACCAGATTATCAGAAATGAGAAAGTTAAGGATGCATTGTAGAGACAGAGTTGACTAAGGGACTTCATTATTATATTATTTTGGCTTATGTGTTCCTCTTGCTTTCTGAAATTAAAACTTCTCAAATGTGACAAGTTTTATGAGAAGTTATATGTTTATGAATATGAAGTGTAAGGGATGAATAGATTTAAGAGATTAGAGCTGGTTGATAAGAGTGCTGAAGAACTATGGATAAAGGTTTGTAATATTGTACAGGAGGCAGCAATAGAAAACATTCCAAAGAAAAAGAAGAGCAAGAAAGCAAAATGGCTATCTGATGAGGCTTTACAAATAGCTGAGGAAAGAAGGAAAGTAAAAGGCAAAGGAGAAAAGGAAAAATATACCCACCTGAATGCAGAATTCCAGAGAATAGCAAGGAGATAAGGTTTTCTTCACTGAGCAATGCAAAGAAATAGAAGAAAACAATAGAATGAGAAAATTAAAGATATCAAGGGAATGTTTCATATAAAAATGGGCATGATAAAAGGCAAAAATGGTAAAGACATAAGAGAAGTGGAATAGATTAAGAAAAAGAGACAAGAATATGCAGAAGAACTATACTCGAAATATCTTAATATCACCAATAACCATGATGGTATGATTCCTGATCTATGAATCAGGGAGAATGAAATCAAGTGGGCCTTAGGAAGCATTGCTAACAATAAGGTTAGTGGAGATGATGGAATTCCAGATGAGCTATTTAAAATCCTAAAAGATGATGTGTTTAAAGTGCTGCCCTCAATATACCAGTAAATCTGTAAAACTCAACGGTGGCCACAGGATTGGAAAAGATCAGTTTCATCCCAATCCTAAAGAAGGGTAATGCCAAGGAATGTTCAAATTGCTGAACAATTGCATTCATTTCACTGCCTGTAAGGCTCTGCCTAAGATTCTGCCACCTAAGTTTTAGCAATATGTGAACTAAGAATTAGTAGAAGTGCAAGCTGATTTTTGAAGAGGCAGAGGAACTAGAGACCAAATTGCCAACATCCGCTGGATCACGGAGAAAGCAAGAGAGTTCGAGAAAAACATCTACTTCTGCTTCATTGACTACACTAAAGCCTTTGACTGTGTGGATCACAACAAAATGAGGCAAATCCTCAAAGAGATGGGAGTACCAGATTATCTTACTGAGTAAGCTTGTAAGAGGATCAAGAAGCAACAGTTAGAATCAAACATGGAACAACTGATTGGTTTAAGATTAAGAAAGAAGTATGACAAGGATATATATTATCACCTTATTTATTTACTTATATGCAGAGTGCATCATGCAAAATGCTAGGTGGATGAATCAAAAGCTGGAATTAATGATGCTGGGAGTAATATCAATGTTTTCAGATATGCAGATGATACCACTCTGATGGCAGAAAGTGAAGAAAAAATAATAAGGGTGAAAGAGGAGAGTATAAAAAGCTGGCTTGAAGTTTAACATTAAAAAAAAAAACCAAAACTAAGATCTTAACAACTGGTCCCATCATTGCCTGGCAAAGAGAGGGACAAGAAATAGAAGCAGTATCAGATTTTATAATCTTGGGCTCAAAGATCACTGCAGATGGTGACTACAGATGGCAAATCTGAATAGCCTACTAAAAGGCAGAGACATCACCTTGCTGACAAAGGTTCATATAGTCAGAGCTATGGTTTTTCCAGTAGCAATGTATGGCTGTGAGAGTTGGACTATGATGAAAGCTGAGCGCTATAGAATTGATGTTTTTGAATTGTGGTAATGGAGAAGATTTTTGAGAGTCCCCTTGGACAGCAAGGAGATCGAATTAGTCAATACTTAAAGAAATTAATTCAAGCTATTCAGCGGAAGATAAAATAGATAAAAGCTGAAGCTTAAACACTTTGACCATATAATGAGAAGACAGGACTCATTGGAAAAGACCCTGATGTAGCAAAAGATGGAAGGCAAAAGGAAAAGGGACGGCAGAGGATGAGATGGATAGATAGTGTCACGGAAACAATGAACATGAACTTGGATAGACTTCAAGAGACAGTGGAGGATAGATATGCTATGGTAACCATAGAGGATAGTGCTATGGTCCATGGGATCATGAAGAGTCAGACACAACTGAACAATTAAACAAGAACAACAAGTGTTCCTCTTGTTTTCTAGAATTAAAACTTCTCAAATATTCAACTCAAGCCTAAGTATCTCTTGCCATTTGATGAAATATATGATACCCTTCAGAATGATTACATATTTGGATGTCTGTTCTGCCCAGTGGTATATCCAATTCAGCCCCGAACTTGCCATCACAACATCTTACCCAGTTATGATAGTACAAGATGAAAAGCAGCAACTGTAATATCAGAAAATTTCTATATTCATAAACTCCTATTTTTGACTTTTAAAGCTCCTCATAACCTGGTGCCTTCCTAGCTTTTCAGTTCTCTACACACTCTAGGATCCAGCACACTGGCCTACTTGTATTTCTTACATGATATTCCATCTCCTATCTAGCCATTTCTTTTCAATGGCTATCCCTCATGCCTGTAATCTTTATCATATCCACCTCTACCTCCTGGTTTCTCTGGCTTCCTTCAAGATTCAATTCGAAGCTAGTTTTGTGAGGAAATTGTTCCTGGTCCATGATCCCCACCCTGAACTCTGCTCCCCACCCTAAATGCCCTCCCCCAGACTACTAGTACCTTCCCCTCTGAAATTACCTTCTCTCTCTCTCTCTCTCTCTCTCTCTCTCTCTCTCTCTCTCTCTCTCTCTCTCTCTCTGATGTATGTGTGTGTATTATGTATATATATGTGTATGTATAAGTATACTTAGTATATATCCATGAATATATACTTGGTAAATTGTATACTCATATATACTTATTTGTATATATATACATATATAATTTATATGTACTTATATATACATTAAATAAGTATGTATACTAAGTACAAAAGTATACAAATACTTTATGTACGTATGTATACACATACTAATATATAAAAGCATATACATACATTTCTATATGCACACACATATGTATGTATATTTTATATGTGCTTAGTTATTTCATGTTATCTCCCCCATTACATTTTTTTTGCCTTTCTTTATATCCTGAGGATTTAGCACAATGTCTGGCACATTTGTCATTCAATTGTTCAGTCGAGTCTGACTCTTCGTGACCCCATTTGGGGTTTTCTTAACAAAGATACTGGAGTGGTTTGCCAATTCATTCTCCAGTGGATTAAGGCAAACAGGTTAAGTGACTTGCCCAGGTTCACACAACTAGTGTCTGAGGCCAGATTTGAACTCAGGTCTTCCTAACTTTAAGCCCATGCTCCCTCCACTGATCCATATAGCTGCCCCAATGTCTGACGCATAGTAGCGCTTAATAAATGTTTGTTGACCAAGTAATTGACCTCTAGCCCATCTCTCCCTTTCAATAAATCCACAAATTGAGATGTTCAAGAAGGGTCAGGGATCTCTGCCTAACAACATATACAAAGTGATCATCTGATACAATGAGCTCTGTTCTTTACCCACACGAGCAACATAACAAATTGAACCTGAGATCCTCCACCATTTCTTTAAGCTCTAAGTGATCGATCTACCACACACAAAAGTAAAGGGCCACTGACACAGTAATATATTTTAATTTTTGTTGTTATTGAGTCATTTTTCAATCATGTCTGAGTTTTCATGACCCTATTTAGGATTTTCTTGGCAAAGATCCTGGAGTGGTTTTTCATTTCCTTCTCCAGCTCATTTTATAAGATAAGGAAACTGAGGCAAGCACGGTTAAGTAACTTGCCCAGGGTCATACAGCTAGTAAGTGTCTGGGGCTGGATTTGAAATCACGAAGGTGAGTTTTCCTAACTCCAGGCCCAGCTTTCTATCCACTGCATCACTTAGCTGCCCCAATATATTTTAATAGCTATGGCTATACCCTATAATGCAATACCAGTCAGTATAGGAAGTATTCTTTGCCATACAGCATGCCACACTAATTATTCAGAAGTTCTTTCACCAATTTCACTTACTTTTATCCATATACCATGTAGAAAGATATCAGGTGAAAATTTATTCATTAGGACCATATATAGCTTAGAGCTGGAAGGACCTTAGAGATTGTCTCACCTAATCCCCTCATTTAACATATAGAAATTGAACTTCTTAAAGCAGGAATGTCCCCAGAATAACACATTCCTCTACACTGGGAAGGCAAACTTGCAATTTCGAAAGTATATTCACAGAAAAATGTCCAAACCAAAATCCTGACTTTTAGTAGCTATCTACTGGTCAAAGACATAAACTTTAATCCAATGTGAAGAGGAAGAGATGATTTGGAGGAATTTTAATGATAGGATGAGTAATCTCTCTCTGGAAGTT